ACCCCGAGTCGAACGGGGATGTCCCACATTCTTTTCAGGAGAAGATGAGAACGACGTGTGGGTGCGGACCTTCCGCCACCGGGCTCTCCTACCTCTTTATTCTGCCAGTATTTATGCCAGAGTTTTGACCAAGTTTTGACCATCCCCTCGCATAACATTTTCTTGAGACAAAAAGAATGAACCATCCTCGAGCACATAGCCCGACCCCGAATTGAACGGGGGTGTCCCAGACTCTTATTTCACGCGGGACGAATTGACATGGTGTGGTCGCGGACCGTCCACCATCGGGCTTTCCTGCCTCTTCTTTGAGCCTATCTTCATAGAGGAGTTTTAGCTATCCCTTCAAGAAGAAAAAGGAGAATGGATCTTCGTGCATAGCCCGACCCCGAGTCGAACGGGGGTGTCCCACTTACCACCGATTCTCGAGGACATGAAGGAGTGTGGGTGCGGACCATCCGCCATCGGGTCCTCCTACCTCTGTCCTGAGCTTATATTCGTACTGGAGTTTGAACCTGTGGTATCCTTGCGATTTTGTTCAAAAAGAATGGGAGAAACACCGTATAGCCCGACCCCGAGTCGAACCGGGTGTCCCACATACTTGTGTTAATGCAGAAGATAAAGTGGTGTGGGCGCGGACCATCCACCACCGGGCTTTCCTTACCTCCCTGTCGAAGGTTGGATTTATGCACGAGCTCTGAGTATCCCTTCGATAGTTAAGAAAAAAACTGCTTACAGAAGAGTGTATAGTCCGACCCCGAATCGAACGGAGGTGTCCCACAGGCTATCATACGGAAGAGCTGTATAGTGGTGTGGACGCGGATCATCCGTCACTGGGCTTTCTTTACCTCCTGTCGAAGATTGGATTTACGCCGGAGTTTTGAGTATCAGTGTCCTACGAAATTAAACAGATGCAGGGACGGTGCATAGCCCGACCCCGAGTCGAACGGGGATCTCCCGCTAGACGGGATGAAAGAATTCAAAGTAGTGAGCGCGGACCCTCCGCCGTCGGGCTCTTTATCTCCTGGTCTTTGAACCTGGCTTTATGGAGGGGTTCGGGGTAAAGAAGTTAAGCGGCAAAAACTGACAATGTAAACCATTCATAGCCCGACCCCGAGTCGAACAGGGGTGTCCCACACACTACATGCATACTGGCCGAAGTGAAGTGGGTGCGGACCATCCGCCACCGGGCTTTCCTATCTCCTTGTTAAGCCTCTATTTATGCACGAGTTCCGAGTCCTTCTCGCTATCCCTTCAAATTTCTCTTGAAGAAAAAAAAGGATCAAAGCAGAAGAGATATCGCTCGACTCCGACTCCGAGCCGAACGGGGACCTCCCATCCTAACCCTTGTTTTAGCGTCGGATTGAGGCCCATTCTCGGCGTGCGGAGCAAAGAACTGAGGGCAGTTAGAACTTGAAGGCCTTCGTCCCGGTGATCACGGTAAAATCAAATGAAACAAGACACGGGGCGGGGAGATTTTTGTGCAGGCGCAGAAAGCAGGAAGGATATGATTAATTCTTGAGGCCTCGAGGTGGAATGCCTCCGAACTGAGCGCGAGGCGTGTATTGCCCGCCGGGGCGCTGTCGAGCCGTACCGATCTGAGCTGATACGATGATATCAGTGATTGATCGGATATTGATCATCTGTCGGGTAAATAACCCACTTTTCTCTCTCTTCGTCGGCCTCGTGGTATCAGAGTCGATGTCGTCCGAGGCGCCGCAGACGCAGACGCAGCTGCCCGCGAAGCACCGTCACAGCCCGTACGAGCGCCCCCGCACGTGTCCCCCTCCTACGCGACTCCGGCCTACCCCCACCACAGGGATCCTCAGCGTACGAGATGCTGCACGCGCCGTACGGGCTGCGGATGTACACCAACGGCGTGCCGCCCAGGTACGCGCCCCCGTCGTTGCACGCGCACTATGCGTGCGGGCCGCCGCGGCGGACTGGGAGGTGCGCGCAGCGGTGCACGCCGCCACTGGGCCACGTGTACGCAGGGCACCCCGCTCTCGGTGCGCCGCCAGTGCGCACGACACGTACGGCGGAGGCGGATATATATATATATATTCGGCGGCAGCGCTGGGATGGGCTCTGGGGCAGGGGGGATGGGAATCGGTGGGGGAATGGGAGGTAGAGGGGGATCTGCGGTATCCCGGTTGTGCACATGGACGACGCGGTGACGAAGCTGCGTGACCGGAATCGGGACAACGCCGCTAGCTATGCAACAAATGCAACCTCTTCGAGCGCGCGCCCCGCGCAGGTCCCGCACAAGCGCGCCCTACTTGCGTTGGGCGCGCTGCACATCCAATCTGGCGCTCAGCAGGTGCAGGGGGCGGTATGAACCTTCCTCTCTCTTCGCGTGTGGATCCGCGCTAGCGGGCCTCCCTCCCGGCCGCACTACCCACAGAGCTACCCCGCCGCCTCCGCCGCCTCCCCTGCGCACCACCAGCGGCGCATTGCGCATCACCAGCCGCTCGCGCACCGGGTGCAACATGGCGCAGCGGCAACACGGCGGTGTCGCGCGAGCAGCAGAGCGGAGGGCGCGGCGCGCACGACATGCAGCAAGACGGGCACCCGGGTACACGTACCCCGCCAACACAGCGCCCCGCGCTCCTCGGGTGGGGAAGCGAACGGCTGCTCGCCTTGGCCGTGGGCGGGAGCGCGAGCGCGAGGAGCGCCGGGACGAGAGGAGGGAGGATGGTCATCAGGGCCAGGAGGATAGACGCGAGCCTGAATGAGCGGAGGGCGGGCTAGGCGCGCTTCCGCTCGCGACGACCCGCTCTGTCCCCCTCCGGCTCCTCGGTCTCCTACGTACGTCCCAGCCATGCTCTTCCTCCCGATCTTCGGGCCTCGTCTCCGTTCGACTTCGCTATCGTGCCCTTCCGCTCGTGCGCGGCCCTCCTCTTCGTCTTTGTCAGCTACTGCACGTTTCCTGCGTACTCGTCTCTCGTCCGGTTCTTACATCGCTGCTTATATCTCTGCTTACATCTCTGCTTGAAGTTACTCATCCCCGACTCCTCGCCCCATGCTCATCCACACGCGTCCTCGTCCTCGTATCCCCACGCTAGCACTATCTCATCGTCAAATCCGCTCGCTCCCAAATAAACTCGTACGCGTAGATCGATGCGAGTTACCGGTCAGCGGTCTCGGTACAGTGGCGGCAAAAAATAATGCCCGCGGCCGTTTGCACCCATTTCTGGGTCAAATCACTTCAAACGAAATCCTGCCACCAATATTGAGTGATTTGATGATTCATGCACTTTGAGCCATACCTCACCTGCTTCATTGGCTCAGAATAAAATAAATGAGGGTTTTCCGGAAAATCGAAAATTTAAACTCACACGGTATCGAAAAATGGTGACACTACCATGAATGTACCTGTAAAATGGGCCATGTTCATATTTCATTTGAGGCACATTGCCAATGAGCTCACAATCTGCTTCACGGTCATTTTGGCTGTTTTTAGCTCAAACTTGCCAACTTGCCAGCCTCGTTACGCGACCAAATCACAAGTAATGTACATAGAGTAACATATGAACATGGTCCATTTTACAGGTACTTTCATGCTAGTGTCACCATTTTTCGATACCGTGTGAATTTAAAATTACGATTTCCCGGAAAACCCTCATTTATTTTATTCTGAGCCAATGAAGCAGGTGAGGTATGGCTCAAAGTACATGAATCATCATCAAATCACTCAATATTGGACGCAGGATTTTGTTTGAAGTGATTTGACCCAGAAATGGGTGCAAACGGCCGCGGGCATTATTTTTCGCCGCCACTGTAAGTAGCCGCCGCGAGAAACGCTGGCTGCATAGAAAGACGATTCTCGACTCAAATTTACAGTAAAGACTCGCATTCCTCACGTCCGTCGAAAAATAAACTTTGCGGAGACAACCTCCCATGGCGAGGCACAGTTGATTTCGAGTTCTGATTTTCAAGTGTGGCGTCTGCTTGGAACTGGTGCACACGGATACTGGGGCGAAGTAGCGTCGCGGCGGGCCATCCGTCACCGGGCGCTACCTCTTTCTTCAGCCTACAATCGTGCAGGGATTTTTGCTATTCCGCCGAATTCGAAAAAGAAAGACCGCGAAAAGAGGATAGCCCGGCCCCGAGTCGAACGGGGATGTACATATGTCCCACATACCTGACGGGTGACAGAATAACGCGGTGTGGGTGCGGACCGTCCGCCACCGGGCTTTCCTGCCTATTTGTTGAGCCTGTATTCATGCGCGAGTTCTGCGTACCCCGTCGAGTTTTTCTACAGACAAAAAACCAACGAATTAATGCGCTATAGCCCGACCCCGAGTCGAACGGGGACCTCCCACATACTTCGTGGATTCCTTCTCAATCAGATTGTGTGGGGGCGGACCGGCCGCTACCGGGCTTTTCTGCCTCTTTTCTTAGCCTGGATCTGTCCAGGAGCTTTGACTCTCCATTCAAAAATCAAAAGAATGATTAACAAGACATATAGGCCGACCCCGAGTCGAACGAGGCGTCCCACATACTTCGTGGATTCCGTCGCAATCAGATTGTGTGGGGGCGGACCGTCCGCCACCGAGCTTTTTCACCTCCCTCCTGTGCCTATCTTCATACAGTAGTTCTGAGTACCCATTCGAAATAAAAAAGCAGACAATGAGAACACATAACAGCCCGACCCCGAGTCGAACGGGGACCTCCCACAGACTTGACGATGAAGATGCATTCAGCGTGGGGCACGGACCCTCCGCCACCGGTCTTTGCCTCCCGTCTTATTCAATCTGCTCTGCATTTATGCACGCATTTTAGCTATCCCCACGAAATTCAAAAAGAAGTAGACACACGCATAGCCCGACCCCGAATCGAACGGGGGTGTCCCACATACTTCGTGGATTCCTTCTCAATCAGATTGTGTGGGGGCAGACCGTCCACCATCGGGCTTTCCTACCCATTTGTTGAGCCTGTATTTATGTACGAGTTTCGAGTACTCGTCCGATACAAAAAAGCTCAAAACCGTACTGGAAGTATAGCCCGACCCCGAGTCGAACGGGGATCTCCCGCTAGACGGGATGAAAGAATTTAAAGTAGTGAGCACGGACCCTCCGCCATCGGGCTCTTTATCTCCTGGTCTTTGAGCCTGGCTTTATGGAGGGGTTCGGGGTAAAGAAGTGAAACGGCAAAAAACTGTCAATGGGACCCGTGCATAGCCCGACCCCGAGTCGAACGGGGTGTCCCACGTACTTCTGAGCGCCTTGAAGACAAGGGGGTGTGGGTGCGGACCCTCCGCCACCGGGCTCTCCTACCCCCCGTCGAGCTTATATTTATGCACGAGTTCCGAGTCAAATTCTCACCATCCCTTCCAATTTCTTTTGAAAAAAAAAAAAAAAAATTTTAAGCAGAAGAGATACTGCATCGCCCGACTCCGAGTTGAAGGGACCTCTCATTGGAACCTTTTTTGTAGCGTCGGATCGAGCCCCCCATTTTAGGCGTGCGGAGCGAAGAACTGAGGCCCCTTCGTGGCGGCGATCACAATAAAATCAGATGAAACAAGACACTTAATTTTTGAGTCCTCTTTGCGGGCGAGGTGGAATGCCTCCGAGCTGAGCGTTGCCCGCGGTGCCTGATGGGGCGCAGCCGAGCCGTGCCGATCTGACTTGATACCAGATCTGATATCAGTGATTGATCATCTGTCGCTCTCTTTTTGATTTGAGGATGAGGTGGAATGCCTCCGAACTGAGCGCGAGGCGTGGCCGGGGCGCTGCCGAGCCGTGCCGATCTGAGATACGAGATCTGATATCAGTCATTGATCATCTGTTGGTAAATACCGCGCCACTCTCCTCTCTCCTCGTCGGTATCATCTCCTCGTCGTATCAGAGTCGATGTCGTCCGAGGCGCCGCAGAAGCAGACGTAACCGCCCGCGAAGTACCGCCGCAGCCCGTACGCGCGCCTCCGTCTCACTCGCGTCCCGTTCTTCTCCTCCGTCTTCTAACCCCCTCCGACGCGACTCCGGCCTACACCCACCATAGGGACACTCTGCGTACGAGATGCCGCGCACGCCGTACGGACAGGGGATGTACATAACCACGCGCTGCCCGTGTACCCGCCCCTGCCCCCGCACACTCACTATTCGTACGGGCCGCAGCCGGGCGTGGGCAGACGAGCGCGGGTACGATGGGAGGCACGCGCAGGGGTACCCCCGCCGCCGTTGATGGACCCCGCGTCCGCCGGGCACCCCGCTCTCGGCGCGCTACCCCATGTGCACGACACGCACGTGCACGGTGGGGGTGGAGTCTGCGGCGGCGCTGGGATGGGCTCCGGCGCGGGCGGAGATGAGAGGCCGAGGGAAACCAGCGGCATACCGGTTGTGGATACGGACGACGCGGCGACGCAGCTGCGCGACCACGTGCGGCCGCCGCCGCTTCAACTGCTGCAGCACCGACACGAGCACGTCGCGCCGCTCGAACCTCTCCCCGGGCAAAGTCATGCGTGTCTCCTTCTCTCATTATCTGTCCTTTGAGTTCTCCTTCCTCCTTCATTCCATCTTCTTCTCGTCCCCCCTCCCATCCTTTCCTCTTTGTGTTATCCGCTCGCTTCTCGCGTTCACCTTTCCCCCCGCTTTTCCTTCCTTCCTCCATTCGTTTTTTGGAAAAAAGCTTGACGATGGGACACGCTGCTAGCTATGCAACAAATGCAGCCTCTTCGAGCGCCCGCGCCCCGCGCAGTTCCCGCACAAGCGCGGCCCGCGCGCGCTGGGCGCGCCATCCCACATCCAATCTTGCGCGCAGCAGGCACAGGTCCGCGATACGTACCTTCCTCGCTCTGCACGCGTGGATCCGCGCAAACAGCCCTCCCAGTCGAGCTACCACCAGAACGACCCCGCCGCCTCCTCTGCGCACCCCGACTCGCACTCCGCCGCTCGCGCACTCGGCGTAGCGGCAACGCAGCGCGTAGGACGGCAGTACGGCAGTGTAGTGCGTCGCACGAGCAGCACAGCGGAGAATAAGGTGCGCAAGACACGCAGCAAGATAGGCACTTGGGTACGTGTACCCCGCCGCGGCACCCGCGTTCCGCGGGCGGGGATGCGAACTGAGTGGGAGCGCGAACGCGAGGACGAGAAAAGGGAGGAGAGAGGAGGAAAGACGAGGGCCGGGACGATAGACGTGCGCCTGAGCCCGAGGAGGGGCGGAGGGAGGACGCATAGGCCCGCCGGTTGCGCTTCAGCTCGCGTACGCCTGCGCTCTGTCCCTCAGGCTCTTACGTCCCAGCCATGCTCTTCCTCCCGATCTTCGGACCTCGTCTCCGTTCGACTTCGCTATCGTACCCTTCGTTCGTTTGCTGCCCTCTTCTTTGTCTTCGTCAGCGACCGTACCCTTCGTTTCCTGCGTACTCGTCTCTCGTCCGGCTCGTCCCTCTTTGCATCTCGGCTTCCTCGTCTCTGCTTCCTCGTCTCCGTTTACGCGTCCGTCTCCTCTGTCGCCTCGTCTCGTCCGTCTACTCGTCCCGGACTCCCCGCCTCATGCATATGCTCAATCATGCTCGTCCTCAGTCATACTCGTACTCGTATCCCCACGCTACCCCCCTGCGCCCTAGCCCTCCCTCATCGTCAAATCCGCTCGCTCTCAAATTACCTCGCACGCGTAAATCGACGGGGCGTTACCGGAAACTGGAAAGGCGTACTAAGCCTACAAGTATATGTATCCAGCGGTCTCGGTAAGTGAGCCGCCGCGAGAAACGCTGGCTGCTTAGATAGACTGTTCTCGACTCAAATTTACAGTAGAAGACTCGCATGACGTGAGGAATGCGAAGAAACAAACTTGCGAAGACACGAGTGCACACTTGATTTCGAATTTGATTTTTAAGTGGAGTGGAGCTTGACACTGGTGAACACGGATACTAGTGCTGGGGAGAGCGTAAGCAACGACGTGGCGTGGGGGCGGATCGTCCTTCTCCAACGTACATTCATGCAGGGATTTGGCAACCCCTGGAAATCATATAAAAAATAATAAAAAATAAAGAAAAGACTAAGGCCACGCAAAGCCCGACCCCGAGTCGAACGAGGGTGTCCCACATACTTCTGAGGACCTTGACTATAAGGTGGTGTGGGTGCGGACCATCCGCCACCGGGCTTTCCTATCTATTTGTTGAGCCTGTATTTATGCAGGAGTTCTGAGTATCCTTTCAAGAAGAAAAAACAGGAGGTCAGAAATGGACAGCCCGACTCCGAGTCGAGCGGCGGGTCCTTGTTGAGCCTGGATCTCTGCAGGAGTTGTAAATACCCAGAGATTTTTTTAAGAGAAACATCAGACGAGGCGCATAGCCCGACCCCGAGTCGAACGGGGACCTCCCACATACTTCGTGGATTCTTTCACGCCCAGTTTGTGTGGGGGCAGACCGTCCGCCATCGGGCTTTCCTACCTATTTGTTGAGCTTGGCTTTATGCCGGAGTTTTGAGCAACAGTGTCCTACACAATTAAAAAAGGTGCAGGGACGGGGACGGTGCATAGCCCGACCCCGAGTCGAACGGGGGCTTGCCACATACTAAATGCACACTCATTTAGGTGAGGTGGGCGCAGACCCTCCGCCACCGGGCTCTCCTACCCCCTGGTCGAGCGTATCTGTATCCACGAACTCTGAGTCAAGTTCTCATTATCCCATCAAATTTCTTGTGAAAAAAAAGATCAAAGCAGAAGCCGAACAGATATCGCCCGACTCCGACCCCGAGTCGAACGGGGACCTCCCACATACTAAATGCGGACTGACTTAAGTGAGGTGGGCGCAGACCGTCCGCCACCGGGCTTTCCTACCTCCATCTTGAGCCTGGATTCATGCGCGAGTTCTGCGTATCCCGTCGAGTCTTTTTACAGACAACAAAACCAACGAACTAATGCGCTATAGCCCGACCCCGAGTCGAATGCCAGGGGTGTCCCACATTCTTTTCAAGAGAAGATGAGAACGACGTGGTGTGAGTGCGGACAGTCCGCCACCGGGCTTCCCTACCTCCTTGTTGAGCATGTATTCATACGGGAGTATTGAAAGTAACCCGTCGACTCCTTTTGAAAAGCACTTTAAAAAGATGAAAGCAGAAACCGCATAGGCCGACTCCGAGTCGAATGGGGACACCCACACACTAGGGGGAGCGTTCGAGATAAATTGCTGTGGGCGCGGACGGTCCTGCCATCGGGCTTCCCTCCCTCCTTATTCAGCCTGGATTCATGTCGTTGTTCGGCGGATTGGTATGTCCTTGAAATCAAAGAAAATTATGTACGAGATACCGAATAGCCGGACCCCGAGTCGAACAAAGACCGCTCAGATCTACGGTTCCCGATATCAATTGCCGTGGGCGCGGACCATCCGCCCCCGAGCTTCCTGACATCCTTCTCCAGCTTATATTCATGCAGAAGTTTTGAGTACACAGTTTTTAACGGTGAAGCGAAACGCTCAGGCCGTTGATACACTGGCAACTGACCCAGCAGTGTGGGAAGTGAGCAGGAATAGTGCAATGCAGGAGTGCTGAAGGTCGAGACCAACAACTAACTACCACAAAACCACCAACCTAACACTAAACCACTGCAAGACAGAAGTCATTGTGTTGTTTGTTCGGGGATAAGACCAAGTATTAGGTCTATCAGACGAGATTTACGGTGATAGTCTTTCCAAGAATCACTTGTGTAAATGGCCCTTGTCCGAGCGATCCCAAGGATGTTTGTCTGCAATCGACTAGATTGTATACACAACACACAGTAGGTCGGCGCTTTTAGGGCCTTCCGAGATACAATGGGGTGCGATTTGATCGCGATATTGGGTTTTATTCGGGCTCAAAGGCCCTTCAGCAATGGTATCGACTGGGCTCAACAGGCTTTCAACAATTATAAACGGATCGACTTGATTGTCGACTACGAGTACAATGGTGTATATGGCCTGGAGCAGATGCAAGAACAGTGTTTTAAATCGTGTATATGGTTGATTTCCGTAAAGGAGCACACAACCTACCAACAACTAATCGTGACTATATTCTAGCCGCCAACTAGTCGCCGATGCGATTGGCTTGTAAACCCCCCAGAACACACTGGTGAACTGTATAACGCGATTGAACAAGTATAAACTTGTAAGAACT